CGGCCGGCGGCCCCCCCGCCGCCTGGGCGACTTTGCTCCTGTCCCCCTGGTCTGCTGGGGGGGTCCAGTGGCTTTGCTGGACCCCCTCCAGCAGACCAGGGAGACTGGGAGAAGCTTTTCTCACCCCGGAGGACACGGGTGGCGACCCGCCGCCCGTGAGCTCAGGGGCGAGAAAAGCCCCGTTCGTAAGTGCGGATCCGACATAAGTCGGATCCGCGTAAGTCGGGGACTGCCTGTACTTGTGAGTTTTGGGAGCTAGATAGTTCTTTACAAAATTAGGGTACATCTATCTTGCCCCCTACTTCGAAGTAGGGAGGCAAATGAAGGCAATCGAAGTTGCAAATCCTGTGCTTGATTAGCATATTCACATCCGGTCGCCATGTTGGAAATTGACTAGCTCGAATTAACTCGCCACATGTAGACGCGGTACTCTGAGGGAAAACCCCGTACTTCAAATTAACTGTACTGCTCCTGCAACTTCGGTCGCCTTCATTTGCCTCCCTACTTCAAAGTAGGAGGTAAGTGTAGATGTACCCCTAGTTACTTAACTCCTGTCCTTAGGGCAGTAAGTAGCTATCATCCACATTTTATAGACATTTTCAGTGAGAAACAGAGGGGTTAAAATTAAAAGGTAACATTTTCCAACTTTGGTGACTAAAATAAAATAAAATAACTAAATAAAACTGTGACAAGTTTGAAACTGAGACTTTTACATAGGCACCTAAATATGGATCTAAGGCTATGTCTTCACTTGTGGGAAGAGCAACGCTGCAACAGTTAATCTTTTAGTGTTTAATTTAGCATATCTAGTAAGACCCACTAAATCAAATGCTGAGCATGCCCCTGTTGGCACCAGTACTCCTACTCCTCGTGAAGGGAAGTTGATGGGAATGTTTCTCACATCAGTCTCCCACTGTAAGGATAGCACAGAAGCTCGACTTAAGGTACATTGACTCCAGCTACATTTTTACATAGCTGGAATTGTGCATCATAAGCCAACCTTCCTCCATGGTGTGGACCTGGCCTGAGTGCGTAGCATTAGGCCTACAGTCTTGATCCCATATGGTTTGAGAATATCTCTAGCAAAAATGAATTTCAGAAACTCACTTGTCAAAAAGAAAATGTTTCCTGGCTTTTCTAATAATTGCATTTGAATACACAAGTAAAATGAATCCAATTTAACTTACCTTTGCTTTCAAATAGAGATTTTGTCCTATAATTTTTGTACTGTCAATCATATCAGTGCCAGGACCTGCAGCCATACACATTTTGGCCTGTTAAGGGTTTTTAAAGCAAATAATTAAACAAATGTAAATGAACAAGACATCCTTCTAGCAACATAAAGCTTTTACTCTGTGAATGAAGGCACAAATCATGGTCATCACTTTCATACAAAAATACTGACTTTTAATACACAAACTTTTAATCCAGGTGTCAGGTACTGTTTTATAATAGAGTCAGTTCAAAAATAACATAGTATCCTCCATGTTATTTATGTAATATATTCATTTTATGTGATACCCAAACTTCCCAGAGATTTTGTACTACAGTCCAGCTGCATATTGAGAGTCATATCTGCCTCACGGTTTCCCTGAAGCCAACACGTAGCCCTTGGCACAGCATACATTCCCCAGCATGCCAACAACAATGCACAGGAGGAGTAAGTAGCAGCCTGGAGGAGACTGCCTATTGGGATGAGCAGTTGAGGAGAAAATAGGGATATTGTGCTTCCCTTTACAGCAGGATGAACCACAATCTGGCCCTATATTTGCAATTTCATACCTATAAATCTACCTTAAACTGGAGATGTAGATAATATAAACCTACCCCTCCTACTGGACAGTAGCTGTTGGGGTTATCACATGACTCTCCTGTGTTTATGCAGTGTGGGCCTTTGATATTGGGTGAGACATCTCCCAGGTTGGATGATGCAAAGGCCGCTACAAAAGATCCCTGCCAAAAGAAAACACCGTTGTATGGCTTTTTCTGTGTTTCTTGCCCCGACTGCCATCAGTCTGCAGACATCAGATGTACATTGGGTATTTCAATGAACATAAAAATCCCTGTCACATAATACAAAGATGTAAAATAAACATGAACTGCCTATGTAATGTACCGTTTGTACAAATTCCCAACAACATATGCAAAATCGTATCATTCATGTTATTACATACAGTTGGTAATGAGAGGACATTGGTGAAGTTTTCAAAAGCAGCTAGTGGTTCTGGATTGAATTTTTGGGTGTTCAACTTGACGTACATTAAAGGGGCCTAATTCTCAGGATGTGTTGAGCACCTAGCTCTCAGGTATGGCATTTAAAAACTTTACCACCTAAAACACATCATTTTGAAAATGTAGGCCCTAAGGTTTTTGCAGTAAGGATTTTTTTAAATATTTGAAATAGAATTTTAATGCCATTACCTTGAATGTATATATCTCCTTTGGCTGGCACATCTCAAAGCACTTTACATTACTCTTTCATTGATATTTCACAACTCTTCACAATTTAGAGGTAATTAAGAATTGATATTCTCATTTTACAGCTGGAGGAATCGAGGCATGATTTTTCCTATTCTACCTCTTGTTATTCACCATGATTTCTACTGAAAGATTTAGCTAATGGTTAACTTAGAACATTCTCTGTTCACGTAATTTGTGTGAACACTGAGCACAGAAATTGACAGCTTAAGTTAGCATTAAAGATAGTAAAAGGAATGGAGGTGAGCAAGTGTAAGGGGACTGTTAGCCCCTTACTAAAACTCTGTGGGAGTTTTTGGTTTGCCAGCTCCCAGTATCAAAAGGGAAAGGGTCCATGAGAAATCAGGGCCCTGAGGCTGACAGACCCCAGAGACAATGGAAAGCAGCCAACACTCCAGCTCAGCCTGATTGACAGGTTGGACAGGCCAGTGAGGAAAGCAAGAGGCCAGGCCCCGTCCTCCCTGTGAGCTGGGATTGTTCTAGGTCTCTCTGAGCAAAGAGAGAGCTGAGAGACAGCTAAGAGCAGTGCAAGCTGTGCTGAGGGGCAGTTCTGCAGCAACAGAGCCAGGCACACACAGCTCAAGGAGCGCAGACCCTGTGTTGAGCAGCAGACTGGCAGTGCTCAGAGAAGCCAAAAGGGACAGAGAAGCAACGCAAGGAGCTGGAGACTGACAAGGCAGCTTACAGCTGGGTGTGGTGAGCAGCTGGGACCAGCAAAGTACAGGGAGAGGCTCCAGGCAGGGAGATATCACCAGCCAAGAGGACCAGCAGGCCAGACTGGGAGAGGGGTCTGGCTACTTAGAGCTTGAGGCTGTGTGGTCACTGCCAGAGCAAGCATGTCCAGCCTGCAGCCCCCCCTGCAGTGCCCTTAAGGGCCTATAAGGAAGAGACTATGGCCTGTCCTTACACTCTGCAGACTGCTGTTTTGATGTCCCTGTGCTACAGAGCAGGGCTGTGTTCTCATTAACCATTCTCATAAGTAACTATGAGAGAGTTACTATAATACTTAATAGAAAATATTTGACTAATGTAATTCTTTTATAGTACAGCATACATTAGACTGACGTATGTACTGTGTTGACATACACAATTGTAGGATATAAATTGGAAACCTTGACTTGGTATAATTCTTATAATTCACATGCCCAAGAGATCAAAGTGAGGTGCAGGAGAGTGGAGGGGGAGTCCTCAGGAACAGGGAGGCCGTAGGGTAAAGGAAGTGGGAGCGGGGACTTAGATCCTTTCGCTGATCCATTTCACTGGGGTGGTATAGAAGCCGGGAAAGTTCCCCACAATAGCGGGACCATTCCCCCGCTTACACAAGAATGGATTACATATTTATGCTACCTCATCACATTCAGTACTCACCACTTAGCTAGGGAAGTTAAGACAAGTTAACTGAAGTTATGAAGTCAATATGCATATGTTAAAATGTGTTAACATATTGTGTGGACACTTCCATTCAAGTTCTCTTTACTTTAGAATGAGAGTATACACTGAGCATTTTAATATGCTTTAAGTTTGCAGCTTTAGTAGATTCATCTTAACTTTTCTTATAAGCCCTTGCAGATGGCATATCTCACCATCTTTACATGTATGAGTGCAGCATGTGTTAGCATATCCAAGATAGATTTTAGAATAGCATTGAAACCTTGACAGCAAGCTTGGGGTCTTGGATTTAATATAAGTTTTTTATAAAATCTAATATCAGAGGAAGTGCTTTTATGTAAGTATGAGCAAACATTTTTGTCTAATTTCCAACTCATTCAAACACATTTGGTCTGGAAGTTGGACTCTATCTAATGAATGTTAGACTTGCATTCCAATTATGAGAGGTGAAAATGTTGCACAGAGGAAGAATTCTAAGGCAAAAGAAGTGAATTCATTTTCTGTGCTAGATATAAATAGGGCACCACTTTCTAAGGTTTGCTTTCTAAGATTGATTGTTCACCTACAAGGAAAAAAACTTTTAAAATAGTTCTGAAGGACTCCGAACACCTGTATTTCATGAGGTTTCCCCATTTCTATTTTAAATATGCATTTTACTTTTAAAATAGTTCTGAAGGACTCCGAATACTTGTATTTCATGAGGTTCCCCCATTTCTATTTTAAATATGCATTTACATTTCAATTAAAACCTTGTCATATTCAAAGGAATAATATGGTCCTACAGTATTTTAATTCCAAATACTGCAAAATTCCAACAATCTATGTTCAACCTTATGACCGGAGTAGTTCCTATTGAATCAAATGTCACTAGAAAATTGGGGTGGTTTTTTTATACAGATCAAATTATGGATCTTAGCAGATCAGCAATGTCCCTTGACATTTACACAAATGTTGCCAGTTGCTGTTTTGGGAAGCAATATGTGTTCACCAGTTGCCTTGCAATTTCTCTTTTCTATAATTGGAAAAAGTAGATGATAAGATGTATAAGATGGCTTTACTGTGCATCTGCAGGATTTGTCCTGCAGTCTGCAATTGCTGTTTGAATGAGACTGCATCTATCCCATAAAAGACATTTTATTGGCTCTCTTTCATTTATGTTTTATCCCACTCTTCAAGATAGCCATAACATAGTCTAACCTCTCCAGGAAGCAGTCCTTTGTTTTTCTCTTGTTCAAAGAGGTACGATGCATAGCCCACGTTGTCACTATTTACGAGAAGGTTTGTGTTGTTCATGCTGACAGGATGAATTGCAAACCAGCTAATAAGCAATCAAAAAAACAAATATTATAGGAAATGAATTCATTAATATTAGTTATCACTGACCTACTGGTATCTTTCCTTCGGGGGGAAAGAATAAATGTTCTAGATCAGCAAATGTGGAATTGCTGCTCCCTCCTCCCACCTCCACCTCTCAACTTCCACCTGAATAAAGACATCTGATCAATACCTAGTTTTAGCAACAGCCAGCTGTCATGTTCCCAAGCTTAGAAAAGTCCATTCTTTCTCTGCTACCAAAGAGTACTCCAAATTCCCTGCGGGGGGAGATCTTGGGGACCACTGTAGCTGGCCCAACTTGAGGCTGCTGTGAGTTGCTTCTCAGAAAGGGGTCAGTGCCTGATGGCCTGAGGATCAAGTAGTAGTGTGGTCCCAGTCCACAAGCTACAGGCTACTGTTTTTGCATTTGATTTCCCTTTCTTTTTTTAAGGGGGGAAAAAACAATGTAAACATCTCATCCAAAGCCCATTTCAGTCCATGGGCATCTTTCCATTGACTCAAGGCACTTTGAATCGGATCCTAAGTGCACAGGTGTATACCACACTACTTAGATTGTACATGAAACAACTTCCATTGTTATTCCATGGAAGTTTGAAGTGATCAGCGCCATGTGCCATTCATTGACACAGCTTGACATCCTCTTTCTTCAGAGCAAATCAGTTTGCCCTTACTCAAAAGGTCATAGTCCCCTACTGCCTACTTGTGTATTTCACTACCTGTGGTTATATGCTCACTGCATCTTTGAACATTTGCCTGCACATGCTTACATCTGCATATTAATTTTCCTCCAAAACTTAAAGTGCACACTGATTGTCAAGCTCTATTTACATGCCAGCTCCTAGAGTTTTCCTACATAAAAAGTTAGTCACAGTGGGAAAGTGCATTTTGTCCCCATTTGTTACTTAAAAGTGGCTGAAACAATTTTGCTAACACAAAGAAAGAAAAAGCAGGGACCAAGCATGGAAATATTTAACTCAAAAAGTGTAAAGTTTGAAAAATTATGGCAATTATAAAACAGGAATTTGTAATGCAAATTGTTTTCCAGCTTTAGAGTCAGCAATTGCCACCAGTCTCACATAGTAAAAATGTATGTGTTATAAATTAGCAGTGTTTATTAATATGCCTGTGTGATGGTTAATGCAAGAAGGTGTTTCATGGCACCTTGTGACATGTTATATTAATGCATACAAAATATTGGAAAATAACAAGATTTCTTCCATGCTGCAAACTGCCTAAACGACAAACCTTTCCCCATAGCCTGCAGACTATACAACTGTGTGAAACAGGGTGAAAAAAAGATGTACAAACATCACCCAACACAATAAAGCTTCAGATGCCTTGTGACAAAGCTGGACCCCACTCAGCTGTTCATGCCCTGAGCTAAATGAGGGAGGTCAAAAGTTGGGTAAGTATTGCAAGTTTTGTTATTTGTTTGCCTGGCCTTGAGTTCTGAACTTTCAGCTTCAAATCTCTTAATAGAAAATTGAGTTGTTAACAAGCACCATCTTACATTCAATCTCAGCATATGAAGTCAGGGCCCTAGTGAAACCATGGATGTTTTACACAATATAGCACTAGACGCTAGAAGAGAGATCCTCACTCCTAAACTGGCCTCTTTGCATTGGGTAAAAGGGCTGGAGTAGGGTAAAGTGACCCTAAAAAGCCCTGTCATGAAGAGGATTCTGTTGGTGCAGTTTCTATGGGAGACAGGTGTAGAGCTGCTTTCCAAGGCCACCCTCACATGTCCTGATGTATGGAATATTCCAGGCAGGGCCAAAGCTCACTGAGCTGTGGAAATCCTCAGCAGTGCTGCAGCCCAAAAGGCAACCTGAAGAGGTGGCTGTAACTTGAATAGGTTCTCAGGTAGGTGGCTTAAAGCCCCCACTGCTTTGAGGGGGATTTGAACCAATGACCTTGATGTGAAAGGTAACATGGGCATTTTTGATGACTACAAAGAATGCATCAATAGAAAAGACATGTTTGGAGACCCAGGTTATATTTTAGTGTTTGGGAGTGAATTTTACTTTAAGATTCAGTACAGGTACCTGATTAGACCTAGCTCCTTTCCATTTACATCTACCATCTTCAGTACCACCATTTCTTTGTCCGTGTTCGATGAATACCTAGACAGCACAACAGAGAAATCACTTTAGTGCCACAGGCAGTATCACAATCTGTAAATGACTTTGTTATATGCTAAACAAGAAAATGAATTCAGGTCATCAGCTTCCAGCAGTTATAATTACAACTACTTCTGCAAAAAGCTGCTGAATTTAGCAAGAAAAGTCATATTTGATATAATATGCTGCTTGCCTGAAGAAAACTGAATTCTCATTTTGCTGTGATGCAAAAATCTTTCTTTTCTACAAAGACTGTAGATCTTGCTTTCTATTTCAGTGATTAGCCAAAAATTTGAATTTTTTTCTAAATAAAACACAGAAGTCAGTTTCTCAGTTACTCCTTTTCTGTACTTGGTGCATGAATGGAATGGGGCGTGACAAAAGTGACATGTGGGTCCCTTTGGGCAACCCACATTCTGTGGCAATTGTGTATATGTATGGTGGGTGCAACCCCTGTGCCACCTTCAGCCTCTGTAACTGACACTTTGCATTCAGAGGCTTTCTATGGACTATGGGTAGCAACGAACAAGTGTAGTGCTGTGTGACCCAATGTCCTAGAAATACTACAGGCTAAGTGGGACTGCCTTGGAATCTCTTCCCCAGTCAGGACGGCCCTTGCCATAGGGTAAAATACCTCCTGAGAATACCCCATTTAAGGCCCTTTTACACTGACAGGGAGCATAAAGGGCTGGTGTGACTGAAATCAAGCGTAGTAAGTCTGTTTAGTTTCTCATCTGACAGCAACTATAGACAGATGTTTCTCTGAAATATGGTAGTGTTTCTATTGGAAAGAGGGTATAGCTGAGCACAATGTTAACCTTGGAATGCTTTATTTCATTTAAAAAACACAGCATGAGGCCAGCTAGAAAAAAATATTCCCTGCACAGAAAGATGCCAGTGCATATACTCAGGTGCATGATAAGAAAGTTTGGGTGGCTTGACTACCACCAACATAAAGTTGCAGTTTTCTGTACTGTTTTATTGCTAAAAGTTCCCAGACCCCACCATCCAGTGATAAGGGTGAAGTTGGGTTCTTGATTTCCCAGATCAAGGAAATTTCCACATCTGATTTGGTTTTGATGACATACAAAGATGTAGTTCTTCAATACTTTCCAGGATAATAGGTTTCACACAGGTAGCTGTCTCAGTCTGTTTCCACAAAACAATAAAGAGTCCAGTGGCACCTTAAAAGACTAACAAATTTATTAGGGTATAACCTTTTGTGCATCTGAGGAAGTGAGTTGTATCTCATGAAAATGTATGCCTTACAAATGTGTTCAACTTTAAGGTGCCACTGGATTCCTTGTTTCTTCAACACTGTATTCTCAAAACACTTTTTGGCAACAATTCATGCTTCTCTTAAAGAGCTGTAGCTTCCTTCTTCTTCTTTACCTGTTCCTTTCAGATTCTGGATTCTGAAGATAAGAGTAAGGACTTCTGTTGATTTGGCTATTTTCTACCAATCCTTTATTGATAAAAAGCCTTCCTCTGGTCATATTCTGGTGTGCTATATCAATGCTCTGGAAAGCAGAAAGGCAAGGAAAATCAGACTAGTGCAGACCTTTTCTTTCGAAAAAGTGAACCTTTTTTTTGAAAGAGAGCACCCAGGCAGTCTGGATGCTCTCTCTCAAAAAAGCCCAGTTTGCATTCAAGAACGCCTTTTTTCGAAAGACGTTCTTCCTCATGAAATGAGGAGTACCACCGTCAAAAGAATTTTTTTTATTTCGAAAGAACGCGGCTGTAGTCTAGACGCAGGTGAAGTTTTTTCAAAAAAAGGCTACTTTTTTCGAAAAAACCCTGCAGTCTAGACACAGCCCTAGTGAAGAGGTGGTACAGAGAAAGCAAGTATGAGTCTTCTGTATCTATGGACCTTATTAGAAATCCAGACAAGGAAAGGTGATCTAAGGCTATTGCTTTGTGCACTTTTTTTTATACATTTGATACAGTTTTATACTTTGGAAAATAAAATAGCTAGTATCAAACTTAATTAATATTTCAAGTAATATGAAATAATCTCTACCTAAAGAAAATGCATCATTTTGTTTACTAACCTGACCAAGTTGGTCATGATAAATCTAAAATCTTGCAACAAATATGATGTGATGTCATGAAACACTAAAATTAATTTCCCATGACACTTCTTGGCTACTTCTATACTAATAAATAAAAAGAGAACACAAAGATTGCCCCTGCTGTACATGTTCATACATTTTAGGAAGAAAAATTAACTCAAAACACCTACCTTTACAATCCCATTTACAATGGCATTCAAAGATGGTTTGATAAGTCCCTTGCTACTTAGCAAAAAGATAGTATACTGGAAATAGCCTGCTGGTGCTGAATGGGTGTGAGTGCCACTCAATATAACATTGTCTTGTGTGTATAAATCCCCATATTTACTCTTCAATTTCTTGATTACCTAAAAGGAAGGAGGAAGTTAATGCAGATGGGTGTTTCTAGGCAGTCATAGATAAATATAATCCTGGATTTATTTTCTTTTTTTTTATATTTATGGTAATAGCATAGTCCTCCTTTTCCACATCCGTCTTCCTATCCCTTCACACACACACTAATGACTGAGTAATTGGGAGCATAGCTGACCACTCAGGAAAGAACCCTTTGGGTTCTTAGATACAGAAAATAAAAGCTGCTGTGCTTTTTTATAGCCAGTCTTGTTTCTTATTACAAGACACAGGAAAATTGCCTATCAGATTCCCACCAGTTGGATCTTCTAAGATTTAAATCAGAAACACTTAATTGACTATATTTATCCCACACTCACTCTCTGGCTACTAAGGGGGTGCTACAGGCAAGAAAATGTTACATGCCACTGTACTTTGGCCACTGGGGCTCACCACAGACCATAAACATTCATATCCTCAAGACCAGTTCTTTATTTTAACTTCTGGCTGGAACTGGACTTATCATCCTGAAACATCTTTTAGAAGATACCTATTCTGTTCTCTAAACAGAAAATATTAAGGTTAGCACCACTAAGTAATAATGGAGATCAAATATTACAGGGAATACAATTCTCAGGTGTACTCCATAGCGAAGTTTTCCACTAACACAAACATAATAAAAGTTCTCCCTTGATGGATTGTCAGCTCTTTAGCCAAGGTGTGCCTTTTTCTCAATGTTTCTACAGCATCTAAAACAATGAGGCTGCAAGCCCAATTGGGGTACATGTGACAATATTTGGAATTGATATTATTCACATACCTCCAGCCTAAGTCTCTGAGACAGCATGCCTATGTCGGCACTGACAAACACCACTCTCTTGGAATCATCAGGCTCTGCCACAATGAAAGCTCGGCTATACAGACGCGAGAGAATTCCACCAGCCCGCTGGTCAGGATTGGCATAGCCCATCTGTGGCACAACACAAGATTAGGGCAACCCCACACTATCCTATTTATTGATAGAAGTTTCCATTTACTTATACTTCTCATAGCAAATTCATCACAGGACCCAAATTACAGCTAACCATCCAAAACAGACTGCTATAGGTTACATCTTATAACTAGTACATAGAATCAAAGCTAGCTTGAAGTTTCTTGCATTTTTTTTAGTAAGGCAGAATATTATACAGTAAGAGAATTGTCAATGCATATTATGCACCCTGAATGTTTTACTTACACAGCCAACATATTCCCGTTTCCATATTATAGTTAAGTAAGTTTTAAAGTAAATCTATATTTACCATCTAATTCTTTTCCCTTTCCTGTCTAGCAAACATTGATTAATATAAATATATTTAAATATTGAATTTCCAAGTATGTGCAGTAGCTAGATGCGGAGGGAAGGGAGAGATCAATTAAAGCAAATTTTCTGAATAATTCATTGATACATTTGTTCTATGCAGGATCGACAGTCTGAGATCACAGGGTGATCCTATCCCAGGTAATGTCATAAGACAGTTCTTTTTGTTAATTAAACCAAGCAAACATCCTGCATAGCCGTGCTATACCAGCCATGGTCCATGAAAGGACACTAAGATAACGTGTATTAAATACACTTTCTTAAGTTTCTATACGTACCAAAGGGACTTCTGCAACTGGTCCAGTACAGTCAGCGCGGCCAACACCAATCCGGTAGTTCTTAGAATCAGTAGCTGAAGGGGTTTAAGATGGTGCAAGTGAAAACTCTTAACTCAGTGAATATATCAGAATTGAACAGACACATCAATTTTCATCAACTTTCGCTCCTGAGCAAGGAGGTACTGGATTGTTGGGTAAAATTTCTGTTATTTATAAATATTGTGTGTGGTGAGCAGTCCCATTTATGTAATGGTTACCAAATAGCTGTGAGATTTGCCATCTTTGAACCTAATATCAAAACTAGCTTCCTAGTGTGTGTAGGGTTTCAGATCCCTGCAGAGAAGGCAACCCATGGTCATATGTAACATCCGTATTTGAGCTATGCAAAATTTGAGCTATGCAAATTGTGTAGCTTATTCTGAGTTAGTTTTGAAATAGCTTATTTCAAAATTTGGTGCTGTCTACAGGGAGTGCAGGGCTCCTCTGTCTCCTACACACCCTCCCGTGTTGAATCACCTCTCTGGATAGGTTTGCTGAAGACTGTGCAGTCAGATTCCCTGGGCCCTGGTGCTTACTGCACAATTAGAGTTTAACCCCTTCCTGACCATGCTGTAGCCAGGGGAGAGGAGGCAGCTGGGTTATGTTGATGGCCAGTAGCAACTTGGAGGTGTTAGCTGCCCTTCTGTACTGTGCAGATAGGAAGGGACAAGCTGCTTCTAGCTCCTGGGGAGCAGGAGGGAAGAAATTACCTCTGGAAAAACACAGGCCAGGTCATCCCAACCCCCATCCCATTTCTTCTGGCAGCAGCTCCCAACTCTTCCCACCCGCACAGTGCCGAAAGGCTGGCACGTTCTGGTGTGAACCCTGACAGAAATCGGGAAGAGGGCCTGTGACTCTGTGCACCCCTCCCCCCAAGTATTGCATTGAGTAGATGCCGCACCAGGTAGTAGAAGAGGTAGGTCGGTCCCAAAAGCCCAGCCAGACATGGAGGGTGAAGAGCACAGGGTACAGAGGGTTAGGTCAAGTCTGTCAGTCACTCCCGTTCCTGTCTGAGAGAGGTGTACAGGAGTGTGTGTGTGTCAGTCACTCCTGTTGCTGTCTGAGAGAGGTGTATAGGAGTGTGTGTGTGTGAGTGAGAGAGACAGAGAGAGAGAGAGACATCTCCCCATTCTAAACTTCAATATACGGAGGTAAATAAAAAGACTCCTGCTCTTCAGTGTTTCTTTTTAACAGGGGCTCAGTCAACTTGATGTTAATTTGAACTTTTGTATAGTTCTGATTGATTGCCATTGAATTCACTTGAATACAAGTAATTTTACCAGGTGCCCCATATTCAACCGAGGAAAATATGATCACCCTACCATTAAGTAATGTGCTTTTCTTGCCTGTAGTCTTGCTTTTCTGCGGGATAAAGAGAAGAACTAGAAGAATCAAAGTAATTATTGTCATCAGCACCAGGAGGACAATGAGTACCACTTCCAGGCATGAGAAATGGGTTTTGCACTTGTTACCCATTGCAGGAACAAAAACTGCAAAGAAGAAAATAAGCTGTTAGAAATTCAGATAGAAGTTAGCCCATTGATAGTGTGTCCAAAGCAATTTAGGCCATACCCTCAGAGACCACAGCTAACTTCAGATCATACCAAACTTCTGCCATTTAAGGACCTCCATACTTCCTAGCTAGGACATGTTTGGATCAAAAGAACAGGGGCTACATCCCAGGTTTCCAACAATATGTGCTTGATTTTTAAGCCAGCCATCACTGGTTCGAAGCCTGTGAGGGGATGAAACATCCTTCTTTGACAGAGCATGTGAGGTTTATATAGCAGCTTGAACCCTGACAGGATTTCCTGCAGTGCGTACATCAGAGCACATCTGCGGCCATAGGGAAGTCATTCTACAAATGACCTTTTTAAAAACTTATGACACAGGGCAAAATTCAAGTGTCATGGTTCAGCAACATTTTTTTCCAGATGGAAAAAATGTAAGTGATTATGATTAAAAGTTTCACCCTCCTTTTGTTACACAGCTCTCCAAAACAGTCTGAGAAGGTCAACTGTGCAAAATGTTTCAAAAAGTTATGGGCATATGCAAATATGTTGCTATTTTTGCTATTACAACCTCACGTATATAATGTTTAAAAAACTTGATCCACGAAATATTAAAGATAAAATTTCCAAAGGATGAAATTACTTGGTATTACATCAATACTACTAAGTTTTGTCACCAAAAAGTACCTGTTGGCGACAAAACAGGGAGAGTGTACTCATAGCCAAACAACTTTTGTAATTAAAAACACATGGTTTTGGGAAGAAAGAACTTCCACCAATACAAGAGACTATTTTCTTTTCCCGTTTATTGTCAATTAACAGCCAGTATACACACCGCATCTGCTTTTATCGCTTTTAATAGCCTCCAGAAGGTACCCCACAATGCCCATGCAGTTTGAATACTGCTGCCCTACAACCAGACATGCTGTTTTTATAAGGAGCTGGATGCTATCCTTGGTGGTGACCCCAACTCCACTGCCAAGAGCCCCAGGTGAGAATCAGAAGCATGCAGCAGATGTACCCCTGACTTTCCTGCTTACCGTCAGGAGTAAGGTATCTGCTAAGAGCAGGGGTCTCAAATCCAATTTATCTTAGGATCAGTGCCAGTCCTCAAATCCTCCTAGTTGGCCAGCATGCTCCCTGGGTGGGGAGGGCTCCACATATTTCCCCTCTTCTCCCAGCCCCACCTGCCCTTTCATGCATCCCCCAGCCCCAGCTGCTACCCCCAGGTGATTTAATTCTCCCTTGGGGGACCCTCAGCACCACCATAGGTAGCACAGCAGGGCTAGAGTGGCTTCTGGTAGTTAACTGTGTGTCACGGCCAACACATCTCTGTGGCCCAGGGGAGGTGTGTGCAGAGCTGTTTCATCCATAGGACAGGTCAGCATGGCCACTTTGGGGGCCACCGTGGTGGCTGCCACAACCATCCTATGGATATGATGGTCCCCCATACTCAGGTTAGTCTGTGGGGCCCTAAGCAGGCTGGGGCTGGCATCAGGGGGTCTCTCCCTAGGGCCGGCATCAGGTCAGGGGGTCCTCCTTCCCTCCCCCCACACTCAGTAATTGCCCTCTTCTGTCCAATTTCCTCTGAAACATCTGGCACTGGTCACAGTTGGAAGATGGGACACTGAGCTATAGCTGTATGATTGATATGACTTAGGGTGGTTCTTACATTGTTTTATCAATGCTAAACATTTCTGGTGATCTTTTCTTTAAACACCCAGAGCATGGTCTTGAAATTCACCAAGGGTGCTCTTTGTGTCAGGGACAGCAAAAAGACACATCCCTTTAAAAATCCTGCCCAGATTTATCAAAGTTATCAGCCTTTGGAAAATCTCAGATCAGACATGCTCAGAAGAAACTTCTAAGATTTTAGGAGGAAAAGTTGCCAAAGATTCCATCCCCACTGGGCATGCTTCCAGTCTCTCACAGCTCTTAGTTCTGACAGACTGAATCTATACCAACCCTCCAGTCACTCGAGGGATAAAAGGAAAAACTATGTAGCACTTTAAAGACTAACAAGATGGTTTAATAGGTGATGAGCTTTCGTGGGCCAGATCCACTTCCTCAGATCATATTCTGGGTCTGGCCCACGAAAGCTCATCACCTATTAAACCATCTTGTTAGTCTTTAAAGTGCTACATAGTTTTTCCTTTTATCCCTCGAGTGACTGAGTGTTCCCCATGCTCCTCACTGCTCCTATCTGTGACCAGACTGCACATACATTCTCCCCACAGAGCAACCACAAGTTTTCTTTCCAGCCCAGAGTTAAAGCCATGAAGCTAGTAATGTCTCCTGCTGACTGCTGTGGATTCAGAAGGTTCAGGCATGGGAGCACAACAGGGAACCTGCCTTTCCTGCACTTCCTGTGATTCCCTCTGCTATTATTCAAGGGGTGCGTCTAGACTGGCAAGATTTTGCACAAAAGCAGACGCTTTTGCGCAAAAACTTGCCAGCTGTCTAAACTGGCCGCTTGAATTTGCGCAAGAGCACTGACGTTCTAATGTAAGAATTCAGTGCTTCTTGCACAAATACTTTGATGCTCCTGCTCAGGGATAAGCCCTCTTGTGCAAGAATACTTGCACAAGAGGGCCAGTGTAGACAGGCATCTTAATTTTTTGCGCAAGAAAGCCCGATGGCTAAAATGGCCATCAGAGCTTTCTTGTGCAAAAGTGCGTCAGCATCCGTGCCCAGTATATTTTGGCAAAAGCACTTTTTGCGCAAAAGCATCCATGCCAATCTAGATGCTTTTTTGCAGAAATACTTTACATGGAAAACTTTTCCGTTAAAAGTATTTCTGCAAAATCATGCCAGTCTAGATGCAGCTAGGGGGTGTGTCTAGACTGGCAAGATTTTGTGCAAAAGCACTTGCTTTTGCGCAAAAACTTGCCTGCTATCTACACTGGCCGCTTGAGTTTGTGCAAGAACACTGACTTTGTAATGTACAAAATCAATGCTTCTTGCACAAATACTTTCCCGCTCCCACTTGGGAAAAAGCCCTCTTGTGCAAGAATACTTGCGCAAGAGGGCCAGTGTAGACAGGGAAGAACTGTTTTGCACAAAAAAGCCCCGTTGGTGAAAATGGCGATCGGGGCTTTCTTGCGTAAAATCGCGTCTAGACTGGCTACAGATGCTTTTGCGCAAAAGCAAATCTTTTGCACAAAGGCACTTGCCAATCTAGACATGCTTTTGCGGAAAAACTTTTAACAGAAAAACTTTTCTGTTAAAAGTATTTCCGGAAAATCATGCCAATCTAGACGCAGCCAGGCAGTGTGGAGGAGGAAGCTGTATGATTCAAATAGAGGAGAAAAAAGGCTGACTAGGCAGAAGGAAAAGAGTATGTGGGGTGGGGAGCCCAATGAGAGAAATTGTATCTGGGACTGACTGGGCAAAGAGACTTGGAGTGGGGAAGCGGAGGCTGGCACTGGGACCTATGTGCAAAGAAGGGAGCTGGAGACTGATTAGACAAGTAGAGATCATTTTTCCAATTTGCCCAGATGATATTGAATTTGTCCCTGTCCTATTATTGTATAGATTTCATGATTACCAATGTTATTACATTCTACTCTAATTACAGAGGTTGTTCTCTACCAATGAAGTCTATAGCCTTAGCTTATGCCACTTTTCAAATCTGCAGAGATGATACACATAAACCAGAAAACAAATGACTGCAAGGAGCTAAACGCTTCAGAAAAGGTGCCATGTACTTCTAAAAGATGCTGATTATAAATAACATCAAAAAAGTCTGGGTGTCAAACCAACTTGCTACATAGAATATTTTTGTTTGTTATAGCCTCCATTTGTAAAACAAAGCAGTCATGTTTCATCCCTATGATTCACTAACAGAAAGGGTTCTAATTTTAAAGGCAGGTTTTGTTTGTTTGTTTGTTGCATTTACAACATGATTTACAAACTCAGCCTTAAACTTGGCATCCAATCCCATGGTAGTACAGACCCAGCAAGGTATACTGAATCAGTGCTTAACAGCCCAACTGTATGAAATTGGGGAAGTGGCTGTTAATGACACATTTTTCAAGGTGGTTAGAAGCAAAGTGCTGACACAAAAACAACAATAAAAAATGTACTGGCTAAACAGTAACTACTAAACCTGATAAACAGAGATTCTTACCTTATAATTTAGTTTATTAAAGATTTCTGAATTCTGTAAACTCAAATAATCCCTTGGTACAATTTGCAGCTTGTGTATCCCACTTCCTTTTGTTCGTGAACTTCAACAGGTCTGAAGGAAAGGCAGGTTATTCTTACAATAACATGAAAACTTTGTAGATGCAATTATTATACACCTTTGAGTCAGAGACAAGATAAGACACTATTAAATCAATAATTTTAGGAGCTGTAAAATATATTTTAATTGTGGTGAATTTTAAGAAAGCCTATCAAAAATATCAGCTTATGAAAGCTCAGTTTATAAATTATTCTATATTGACCATCACATTATGGCCAAGCACAATTTCAGGACCTCATGGTTTGTCAAAACATTGGTCTTTTAATCTTTGCTATTATTGGGCCAAGGCTGCAAAGTTCATGAGTTCAGTTCTAAGAGTAACTATCTCTGTACAATATAAACAGCAATATCAACAGCTCGTTGTTCCATGGAACAGCAAAAAGCTTATTTTAAAACATCACGTATCTTATCATACAGTGAATTAATAGATTATAAATGGACTATAAACCTTACCCAGAAATCCAACCCCTTAATACTTTATTAAATGGCGAGAAATATCATTGCCACAAAGTTAAGTGTGATGGTTAATAACTTGTGCCCTTCCAGAACATCAAATTCAGCAAAACCGAGGCACTAGAAAATTTGGTCTGTTTAACTCCTTCAATCAAAGATGTGAAATATCCCCACCCCTGAGCTGTATAGTTAAGATTACTTAAATTCCCACGTAGACAGTAATGTTGATGGAAGAATTCTTTTTGTCAGTTTAGCTACTGCCTTTTGGGTAGGGAGAGCACCTACACCAACAGAATACCTCCCATCGGCATAGGTGGTGTCTACACTGAAGCAATATAGTAGCACAGCTGTGTCCTTGTGGGGTTTTAAACATAGATGAGTACAGGTTAGTGCAGAATTGGTGCTCCATTGTAGTTTATAAAATTAAAGGGATAATGGAAGGAGGGGGCTCTCCACATCCATCATCAGCACAGCTGGCTCAGGGAGAGGTGACATAGCCTACTTGTCTCAATGAATTTTTCTCAGCTGAAATAGAATACCTGCGGATGATGAATACAGCCCGGAACAATAGCTAAGAGATGATTGAACTGCTTTGTTCATGTTAGTGGGCGTTCTTCTCCCCCATATTCATACACACACTGTAGGGGAGAATTTCTGATAGACTTCAAACATGCCCATTCACAGCTCTTTACACACACACACACACACACACACACACACACACACACACACAGTCAGCATTAGCATGCCAATGTTACACTCCATCCCCACCCAAAGGTACAGTGGTCCCCAGATTCTCTCACATGATGGGAGGGAGTCAGGCTCAGACTGCTCCCCCTAAAAAAGCAAGCTCCTGAGAATCTGGCTTATGTGAAGGGAGAAGGGAGGGGTTCAGACCCCTGTAGATGCCCTGGGGACCGTCAGGCACACACACCAGAAGAAAATGTGGGCTCATTGGTGCTGTCTAGACCCTATTCTCCACAGTCCTTATCTCTCAGCCCCATGTTTCCTTTCCCAGTGTCCCACCTGATCAACTTCCTCCCTTCCCACTCCCCAAATCCTCATCCTCTCCCCATCATCTGATCCTCCAACTCCCACCCACATTCCCATTCCCCTAATTAGCCTGAGCTGTGAGTAAGCGTTTGTTTGTGTAGTGTATTGTCTGTTCAATACCTCCTGAACACTCCAGAATACATTTCCTCAAAAAAGAAGCAACTGCCTCTTTCACTTGAGATTTTTGCCCTGAGTTGGATTAGAACCAGTAGGGTGTGTCTAGACTGGCAGTCGCTTTTGCACAAAAATTTGCCAGCTGTCTACACTGGCTGCTTGAATTTGCGCAAGAGCACTGATTTTGTAATGTACAAAATCAGTGCTTCTTGTGCAAATACTTTCACACTCCCGCTTGGGAAAATGCCCTCTTGTGCAAGAATACTTGCGCAAGAGGGCCAGTGTAGACAGGGAAGAACTGTTTTGCGCAAAAAAGCCCAATGGCTAAAATGGCGATCGGGGCTTTCTTGTGCAAAATCGCGTCTAGACTGGCCACGGATGCTTGCACAAAAGCATCCGTGGCAATCTAGACACGCTTTTGCGGAAATACTTTTAACGGAAATACTTTTCCAGTAAAAGTATTTCCGCAAAATCATGCCAGTCTAGATGCAGCCGCAGTGTCTAGGTTTGCCTCAGATCTGATAGCCATAACATACCCAGCTGCTGCAATACTAAGGTAACTTTCCAGAAAATTGGCTTATGTGCATAGTGTAATCCATTAGGCAGCCAACTAGACCGATGAGACCGCGTGCACCTAGCTGGACCAGCAAAATCTCTCTCAAATACTATTTTAATTTGATTATCCCCAAGGAGCAGGTAGGGGCTATGCACTCTGTTGGGATACTTCCTATGACTGATGTAGAGCAGCAACTACAATTTTACATGCAGATGGGTAACCACATGATTGGGATAACCACTGAGCAGTAGAGCCCCTGGTACAATGATCAGAGCCCTGGTCAGATCAATATCTGTGAGCAAAATATGCTGTCAGAATGTGCCAACTTTAAGAAGTGATCTTCTCTCCCTCCCACTCCGCCCAGAGGATTGTATATTGGGAACTGTTTTGTCAAATGGATCAAAATTTGGATACTGACAGCACCCCACACCTGACGAAACACACCTAATTTCTGATTAGCTAAAAGAATTTTAGATCACTTAGAGTAGGTGAGCTTTAAATAGAAAGCTCGTCTTAAATATGTCAGGGTTGTGTCTCTGACATTGACCCAACAGTCTTGTCCAGGCAACTGCTATAGTTGATGCATTAACCAATGCTGAGCATTAATGTTATATGTCCCAAACAGAGTAACTGTAGAGAGCTGCACCCATTACCTTCCTAAATATGCACTCACTTAATCTCTACAAAGAAATGCAAACATGAAAAAGACAGTTGCAGATATTTTATGGAAACAATTTAAAAAACAGTTTAAGATTTCTAATCATTAACAGAACATGGACTTAAAACTTGCAAATAGATTTATATTTTTAAAGCAAAATCTTTGAAAATCACTTTTTACTCTATTTACTAAATCTAGACTTCAATTTTTCTTAATGCATGAATTCGCCAACTCCTAAAAACAGACTTCTCTGTTGCTCTAGCCAAACACTTTTCCAGTTTTCATTTACATACTGGAGTTTGCTTCGAGCAATTCCATTATACAAAACTTTTCTATATGTGCAGGCTGCAAACTGTTCCTTTAACCAGTTTGTTGCCTTGCCCAAGCTTGTACCAAAGAGGGGAGGGAAAAAGAAAGATATGCACCAATAGGAATCTTGCCCTACACTTCTTGAAACACCCAAAACTCCAATTGAATACCCTGAATTCACACTGTGAACTAAGAATGCAGGTATCAATCCCAAGTTTTCTTTATTTGCTCAATTTGCACGCTGTTTGAAAATCAGGAGATTTTGACATCTGTCTCTTGAAATTGTTACATACTTTTGTCTAATAGGATTCAACAGCTAACATCCCAGATACCCATGGGAATGCTGAATCAAATTTGAACATGTCAGGTCAGATAAATAACTGTCTGACACTGCAATTTTCACAATAATCTTTTCAAGATTTAGCATTTTCTGATATAGTATCATTTTGCAATGATACAGATAAAGAATTTATTGCATCTGCCATCAGCAAAACTGGCCTGTTTTGCCATACAAGGTTACTAACGTACAAAACAAATACATTTATAGATATCACTGTATCAGTGACTCTCTATAAAGTTAATGTGGGTGAATAGCAACTTATAAAGTATACTTCTCCCTTCTTTCGCTAAACATCAGTAAGTGCAACTTTTTGATAGCTACTGAATGCTTTATGTAATTAAAATAACCAACTCTTAGGAAAGCTCATATTTTTTACCCATATTATAAAACCTACATTTAGTGCAAAACTATTCATCTGAACCTTATGCTTTCCATATGATGCAGCCAGACAGATGCAAGAGAAACGTAGAGAGCAACATCAGCACCTCTATGAGATTTTCATTGACTTGACCAAGGCATTTGACATGGTCAACAGAAATCGGCTCTGGAAAATACTTGGACGATTTGGCTGTCCTGCTCAGAGTCATGGACAATTTATCGTCACCATGTTTTGAAGCTCGATCAGTTCCATATGCATTGTCTGAGGAAGATTGCCATGTGAACTGGTGTGACAAAATTCCTAATCCAGAGATTCTTAAGTGTGTGGTGTCATGGGATGGAAGCAATGCTTATGAATAAACAGTTTTGCTGGATTTGTCATGTTATGAAGATGGGTGATACACAGACACCAAAGATGGTTTTCTATGGCAGCTTGCTCATGGAAAGTGCTTTATTGGTGTTCAGTATAAATGCTATAAAGACATTTTAAAGGCCAACGTGAAGTCATGCAGCATATCTCCCAATGATCTGGAAACTCTAGTTCAGGACAGATTGTCCTGGTGGCAAACCACTGTACAGGCTCTTAATTGCTTTGAGAGTTAGTGTATCCAGGCATTACAGGAAAAGAGTAGGATCCGAAAAGAATGTACAACACCTGCAGTTGGCAGGGTTTTATGTCACATCTGTAATCGGCTCTGCCGATCAAGGATTGGCTTAGTCATTCATCAACGGCATCATAGAAGATGAGATCCGTAGATTGACGGCTCAGTCCAAGAAGAAGATTCATCTGAAAATTTATTCTTACATAAGCAAATTACAGTAGAATTCCAATTATCTGAAATTTCTTTATTCCCAAAACCAACCTATCTGAATCCATAGTATGTTTCACACATATACATACCCATATCCTTACATTAATTACCCACTAATAATGTATCAAATAACAGTAGATCTAATCAGCGGCTGTGGGAGCCATGTGCTTCTCTGAGCACTGCAAGCCCCTGGGTGGAGAGAGCAGGGGCAGGGACTTCGCTTGTGTGACAGATCGAGCCGGGTTTGGGCACCGCTAACAGCATCAGCTCAGGGTGAATTGCTCAAAACAGAGCTACTTACAACCCTCGACTGGAGACCTT